GATGTATACCAACAAAAACCTTTGTTTTTGCCTGTCAAATTTTTCCATATAATCAAATTTTTCCATATAATCTGTCAAATTTTTCCATATAACATTTCAAATGGTTGGCAACACTGTATATCGAATTCAAGTAGAAATTACCCACTTTGACAGTTAATCAAGACATCAGCTGCGCTAAATGGACTACCTATTCATTGTGCCATGGATCAATGTCTATTAGAGTCTAAACACAACCAGCGATTCAGGAGTCAGCGGCATACGTTTTCGCCAGCGTGAAAACCAAACGAAAAAGTTAGCGGCTAGAGTCTAAACACAAACAGAGAGTCAGGAGTAAGCGGCATACTTTTTCGCCAGCGTGAAAACCAAACGAAAGAGTTAGCGGCTAGCGGCACAAAATGTGAATTATTTGTTTTAATTTTTTGATAGACACGTTGTGCAAACCATATTATATTTATTATTTAAGGGAACATCGGAATCCGAAAATTCCAACGGTGTTAGAAAGAGTACATGACTGGCTCTCGTATGAGCTAGGATTATTGACTTCGCACAACAATTAACAAAATGGCGGAACTTTGAAAGTTTTTTTTGGAAAATCGCCTATTTTTTACCACAAACTGAGTTAAAAAATAAGGAAGTTCTCCACCGATTGGCTTTATCCTAGTTCATACGAGAGCTATACACTCCCGGAGATCGTGCCCGCCATTCGCAAAAGAGAAAAACGCGTTTAAAGTTTGAGAAGCCCTTTAGCCATCACTTGATGCTGACACAATAAATCGGCTATATCTTCAAGAGTTCTTGAGATTTTCACTTGAAATTTTGTAGGAACATTCTTGAATTAGTGTAGATTCGAATTAAATTAAAAAAAAAATGACCCCGAGAATGGGGGGGACCCCTTAATAAACAATAATGTCAAGGAACACTGCTGATTTTTACCTAAAATATGGCAACTCAATTGAGAGCAAGAGAGAAAATTTGAGTATGACGCTGAGCAAAAATTAATAAAATCTATTCTACAGTCAAGCCGCTAGACGCGAACGTCAGCCGTCGGGATTTCCCGTTGCCAATAAGAAACACACGGTAAACGACCGTCGCTGACTTTAGACGTAATTTCTCTGGTTAATAAGGTCACCCAGCTGCCGAAAGTCAGCAGTTTTTTCTCAAGTCTATTGACAAAAATTTGAACTTTGTTTACGTTTTCAAACTTAAGAGGCAGTTGATATCTAGCTGGTCTAACTGGATTACCTTATTAATTTTTAATAACTTTTGAAATACTGGGAGTATAGTAATAAAATATGATACATATTTTATAAATGGTAAGAATTTTAGCTATTACTATTTTCTATATATTACCAGTGGCAAAGTTTGGATAAGGAATGCGCCGATAAATTCCATCTTTCATCAACCCAGCAGCCCGCAGGCCATTACAACCTAGTATCCATCCGAATGTATACTAGTATGTCAATAGGAACCAGTAAGGAAAGTAGTAAAGTCGGAAGTAGTAAAGTCATATATTCAACAGATGAATCCTAACAGACGTTGAAGGACCATTAACACGAAAATGAATCGATAACCATGTCATTCTGCAACCTATACTAAATTTTTCATTTGGTCAGATATGGGGTTGCTTCTTACAATGGGACAAAAATATGTAAATCAAAATTATGCGTCTGAATTGGATGGCTTTGTGTTGCACACGATCTGATGGATAAAATGGAAGGCATTACGCCAAAACAATTAGGAATTGTTTCAAAGTTCACAAGGCTAGACACTTCCAAAGAATATTCCACAATAACATTTTCAATTTATTGACTTTTGTTATAGTACGTCTACAGTTCTAATGTAAATTTCGGTTTATTGTTTTTATGAATTTTTAATAAATTTTATGATTTACTTAATGTATGCATTATTTTTTTATGATAAACATGTTTTGAGAATAAAACAGCTGAAATTTTAGTTACAACCATCCCATTATAGATCCTAATAGGATAATATTAATATCCATCCGATCTTCGCTTACAATCTTGGTGGAGTCGCATGCATCTTACATTCGCTTACATTGTCGGTCGATTTTGGACCCATATGACGGCCTAGGCCATCGCTATGTAATTGTAAGTTAAAATTGTATCCAGGGGGGTTACTCTGTATTGCGATGCGTGAGAAAAAATTTGTAACGCATCGCGTAATTGGTACTCTCTAATTCGTTTTGGTATCTCCTTTCGCATCTACTTTACGCAAATGTGGCATCACCGCACTCTGTAATACGAAAACGCAAGTCAAACTCGTTCGTTAAGCGCAAATATCTTGCGTTAACAAAATAGCAAACCCAGAGGAAGCGAAACATATAAGTAAGCTCACATAAAGGTTTTATTTATATATAAATTGTAAATTTTGTAAAAGGCAAAAAAGACACAGTTGCAGACTCAGCAACGTCAGTTCCTAACTTCAGTAGATTTTATAGGGCAACACCGTGATTTGGCAAAGGGACAGTTGCAGAGTTCAAATGCGAAACAACGCGCCAACAATTTGTGGACAAAACTGTCAGATGACCTCAATTCAAATTGACCTCTTGCAAAAGGTGTCGGTGGATGGAAAAAGTTATGTATTATATTTTTTATATATAATGTGAAACTATGTGTGCATATATACAGGTTAGTGTTGATAGCCACCTTGTCCAAGCAATTTCAAAGCAGCGGCCTCTTTTATTGGAGTTAGAATTGTTGTGGATCTATTTGAAACGACGAGCGTTTAATAAATACATAAACGAATCTTTATTGAGAAGAACATTTTGTAAAAACCATAACAAAATTAAATATTTGAAAACGTTTGTCACATAATGCGTACTTCTATTTTCATACCCGTGGGAGAGTATATTTGATCGATCTCATAAAATTATTTTTTTTATTTTTTTATTTTTATTTTTTTTTATTTTTTTTTTTAATTCGTTCATCATTTTTGTTTAAATAAAAAAAAACACGTAGCACACAAAAATATGTTTTCTTTTACAATTTTTTGACGTTTCCTTTTGTCATTCTTCGTTATTGTTTACTTTGCGGCGACAGTGTTGCCCTATTTTCGATTTAGTTTGTGAATGCGTTTGCGTGAACGTTACAGAGTACCAAATTGTAATCTTAAGGGAACCCCACCCATTCTCGATTTTAATTTTTCAAGATTTTCAATGGGCTGGCAAATCAATACCAATGCTTGTTAAGGTTTGTAACTTTGCACATATATATATTTGAAGATTTAAAAAAGAAGAAAAATAATTTACAAAAAATTTTTGTTGTTGCTTTGTTGTTGTTTTTTGTAATTAAAGAAAAGTCGTTATTTTTTATTACGGGCATGATAACTCCTCACTGGATCATCGGAATCCGAAAATTCCAACGGTGTAAGAAAGAGTACATGTCTGGCTCTCGTATGAACTAGGATTATTGACTTTGCTCTAAAATTAACAAAATGGCGGACCTTTGAAAAATCCCGAATTTTGACCAAAAAGTTTGAGAAGCCCTTTAGCCGTCACTTGATGCTGACACAATAATTTGGCTATATCTTCAAGAGTTCTTGAGATTTTCACTTGAAATTTTGTAGAGACATTCTTGAATTAGTGTAGAATCGAATTTAATCAAAAAAAATTTGACCCCGTGAATGGGGGGGGTCCCCTTAATGCATTTAGCTTTCGCATCGCACTTGCTTTCGCAACGCAATACAGAGTAACCCCCCAGGCTTCGGATGGATCGCTGCTACATTGTATTTGGTATCAGTTGGAAGATGTATGGGCAAAAAAATCCGCATAATCGTAATATATAGGCATGGTTAAAATATTAGGTTAGTGATGAGAGGAGTGGCATTTATAAATCGGCTTCAAATTGTCTGAAACGGATTTGGCCCAATGAATCATGGGGTCTAATACCAATATTTCGATGATTATTTTAGGAGTCCATGACATATTCTTCTACGAGTAGTAACCAGAATACAAATAGGTTTTTAACAAATAAAACTTCAAAAAATAAAACACATTCATTTATATTAAATAGTATTTGTTGTTTTGTTTTTTTCTATATTTTTCTTTATAATACACCATTATAATTTTTGTATCTATGTTCGCTTGTTGGTATGTGTACATAAATATTTACTAATTTTTCTTTTTCTTTATAATTAATTTAAAATATATTTACAAATAAACATTTAATGCTTACAGCGAAAGAAAAAAATAATTAAAGAAACTAAAACATATACAAATAGTATTTATAGCATTATTTTTCAAAATAATATTAGAAAAAAATGTTTACAGATATAATACAAGCAACAAAAAATAATGATTATATAGTAAATATACAGATTTTTATATAAATTACAGAATTTTTGTTATATGCATTTTTTGTTGTTTTTAGTTTTTTTAGTTCAACTAAAATCAATAACTAATAATATCACAAATAGAAGGAATTAATACATAACAGTTTTGTTTTTGTTTTGATTTTATAGCAAAGCCATTATTATAGAAAATAAGAGAAGAATATAATTTTGATTAAATAAATATAAAATATATATTAAAGAGAGTTACATAGTTTTTTTATAATTAAATTTTAATTTTTTGTTTTAATTTTTATAAAGCAAATTATATTTGTCGCCAAATTTGTTTTATAATAAAGCTGGTATTTGTCCTGCAAACATAATATGCCTGCCTTAGAGACAAAATAAATATACATATAATTTTGTATATACAATTTATATATCATTTTTCTAATATATTAATAATAATAAAAAACCATAAAAATAAAAATATACTTGTAATGACTAAAACATGTGAGTGATTTTCTTTCGATTTCGTTTGATTTGTTTTGTTGTTTTCTTCTCTGGAACATCTATTGCCTGGAATAGATTTCATTACCCATTAAAGGGGGATGGGGATGTTCCTTCCTTCTTTCCCATTTGGAATTCAAGGCACTTTTGGTATGTCATTTTATTTTACAAAAATGGATTTTTGTTGTTGCTGCTCTTGGCCTTCAATTATAATTACTGGGATTGGTGATTTTCGCCGCATACATATTGGCCACTTTATAGATAAATTCGTATTGTTCCTTGGTTAGCACAGCACTGGCCCGACCTCGCCTAACATAGTAGACAATGTGCGGTATATCGACGGTACGTTTTGGTGTCTCCAGACTACGTATGGCAATATCACAAGCAATAATTGTACCCGTTCGACCAGTACCTGGAGAGCAGTGGACAGTTAGGGGACTAAAAAAAATGAAAGAAGAAGAAATACAAGAAAAAACACATAAATATCATGCAAAACAACAAGAACAACAACGGGACATACACAAATTTGTATACAAATAAATACAAAATAAAATATGTGAGATTGTGATAAGGTGGAAGAGATTTTGAAATGTTCAGCTCCTAAAAGTATGCTTTGATTTTTGTTTTCATTTTTTTGGAGGACTATAAGCTGAGGATACAAACACAAAAAATCAAACAATTTAAATTTTCGTTCCACTTCACCCCAAAATTATTATCTGATCATAATTACCGAAAATTATAGGCGTTTTCCTTTGCCATAGCTGGAACCTCATGGAAAATTTAAAAGCGATCAGCGCTATATTACCAACCACTAGTGTGATAATGGGTTACTAAAAAACATCTGAATACGTATGGGCCTGTAAATATTTAAGTGTAACTCCCACGTATGAGAACATACCACAACCACTCCTCTTGGATATACTATCAACTTCTAGGGTCTATGTCGTTCGGGAGTTAATATATACGCCATAGAATACAAATTCATTTGACCCGCTAAATATTGACCGATCTTTATCAAAACGGGCATGCTCACTCTATGGCCCGATCCCCTACTCCATGTAAAATTTCATGATGTTCGGGCCATAATTGCGGCCTCTGGAGCGACCAGAAAAACCGACAAAAATTTAGTATTTGGTCCATTTCATCCCCTATATAAAGATTGGTCTATAACTGTGGCCTGTATAGTGTTTACAAATTATAATGGACAGACGGACGGCGGACACACATGTCTAGATAGACTCAGCTAGTTGAGGTATGACGATCGGTATACTTGATGGTGGGTCTAGGACCAATATTTCGCGGCGTTACAAACACTTGGGGCTGCACAAAGCTATAATACCCTGACAACATAGTTGTGTAGAGTATAAAAATCTACGCCTTGTAAAAAATATTTAAAAAAATCTACGCCTTGGAAAAATATTTTTAAAAAATCTACGCCTTTAGAAAATAGTTTAAAAAAATCTACGCCTTGAAAAAATATTTTTAAAAAATCTTCGCCTTGAAAAAATATTTTTAAAAATATCTACGTCTTGAAAAAATATTCTTAAAAAATCTTCGCCTTGAAAAAATATTTTTAAAAAATCTACGCCTTGAAAAAATATTTTTAAAAAATCTACGCCTTGAAAAAATATGTTTAAAAAATCTACGCCTTGAAAAAATATTTTTAATAAATCTACGCCTTGAAAAAATATTTTTAAAAAGTCTACGCCTTGAAAAAATATTTTTAAAAAATCTACGCCTTGAAAAAATATTTTTAAAAAGTTCATGCCTTGAAAAAATATTTTTAAAAAATCTACGCCTTTAAAAAATATTTTTAAAAAATCCACGCCTTGAAAAAATATTTTTAAAAAATCTACGCTTTGAAAAAATATTTTTAAAAAATCTGCTCGTTGAAAAAATATTTTTCAAAAATCTACACCTTGAAAAAATATTTTTAAAAAATCTACACCTTGAAAAAATATTTTTAAAAAATCTACGCCTCCTCGAAAAATATTGTAAAAAATCTACGCATGGAAAAATATTTTTAAAAAATCTACACCTTGAAAAAATATTTTTAAAAAATCTACGCCTCCTCGAAAAATATTGTTAAAAAATCTACGCATGGAAAAATATTTTTAAAAATCTATGCCTTGAAAAAATATTTTTAAAAAATCTACGCTTTGAAAAAATATTTAAAAAAAAATTTACTCCCTGAAAAAATATTTTTAAAAAAAATTACTCCCTAAAAAATATTTTTAAAAAATCTACGCCTTGAAAAAATACTTTTAAAAAATTACTCCCTGAAAAAATATTTTTAACAAAATTACTCCCTGAAAAAATATTTTTAAAAAATCCACACCTTGAAAAAATATTTTTAAAAAATCTATGTCTTAAAAAATCCTTTTTAAAAAATCTACGCTTTAAAAATATTTTTAAAAAATCTACGTCTTGAAAAAATATTTTTAAAAAATCTACGCCTTGAAAAAATTATTTTTAAAAAATCTACGCCTTGAAAGAATATTTTTAAAACATCTACGTCTTGAAAAAATATTTTTAAAAAATCTACGACTTGAAAAAAAATTTTTAAAAAAATCTACGCCTCGAAAAAATATTCTTAAAAAAACGCCTTCAAAAAAATATTTTTAGAAAATCTACGCCTTGAAAAAATATTTTTAAAAAATCTACGCCTTGAAAAAATATTTTTAAAAAATCTACGCCTTGAAAAAATATTTTTAAAAAATCTACGCCTTGAAAAAATATTTTTAAAAAATCTACGCCTTGAAAAAATATTTTTAAAAAATCTACGCCTTGAAAAAATATTTTTAAAAAATCTACGCCTTGAAAAAATATTTTAAAAAAATCTACGCCTTGAAAAAATATTTTAAAAAAATCTACGCCTTGAAAAAATATTTTAAAAAAATCTACGCCTTGAAAAAATATTTTTAAAAAATCTACGCCTTGAAAAAATATTTTTAAAAAATCTACGCCTTGAAAAAATATTTTTAAAAAATCTACGCCTTGAAAAAATATTTTTAAAAAATCTACGCCTTGAAAAAATATTTTTAAAAAATCTACGCCTTGAAAAAATATTTTTAAAAAATCTACGCCTTGAAAAAATATTTTTAAAAAATCTACGCCTTGAAAAAATATTTTTAAAAAATCTACGCCTTGAAAAAATATTTTTAAAAAATCTACGCCTTGAAAAAATACTTTTAAAAAAATCTACGCCTTGAAAAAATATTTTTAAAAAATCTACGCCTTGAAAAAATATTTTTAAAAAATCTACGCCTTGAAAAAATATTTTTAAAAAATCTACGCCTTGAAAAAATATGTTTAAAAAATCTACGCCTATTGGTAGTCCTTTAAAAAATTTACGCCTTGAAAAATTTAAAAAAAATTTACGCCTATTGGTAGTTCTTTAAAAAATAGTTTTGAAAAAATCTACGCTTCTTGATAGTCTTTAAAAACACGCCTAACTAATTTCACTAATTTATAGTCATTGAAAAAATAGTTCTTAGAATTCTTGAAAAATATTGTTACAACATCTGCGCCTTTTAATGGTCTTAAAAAATAAGCCAAGTCATATTTTCTATATTTTGAAGGATTAAAAAATATTTGAAAAAAATCCTTAGGGTTAAAGAGGGCTTTTAAATATCCATATATGGATAGAAGGAATATAGACATTTTTCTAGAGTTTTTATAGTGACAAGAACATTTATCAAGTCATTAATGAATATGGGACAGTTTTTCTTTAACTCCTAAAAGTATGCTTTCATTTTTAATCATTTATTTAGTCTATAAATGAGATATTGATTGATGAAAATGCATTTCTAAATTGTGGCCCCCATTTTAATATTCAATGTATGGCGCCTGAAAGTATGCTTACTTTTTAAACAATCAAAAATTATCAAATGGTAGAAACATCAAGGCCAAAGGATATCTACCTCCAAATGGCCTTTTTCACTTTCACCTTATCACAATGGTATAATTCATGAAATGAAATCAGGAGGTTTAAAAAACCGCTCCCTCTCTTTTGATGAATAACAATCTGTCTCCGAACAAAAAAAGGAAAACAAAAACTTTTCTCACTTACCCCTGATTTCTGGCAGTCTTTTTAATTGGCACCATTGAAATGTTACCATTTATTTCAGCATTACTGCTACCATTTGAATTTGTTCCATTCTTACCGGCCGTACCCTCTTCCGCAGATCTCAAGGTATTCGTAGACGCACTATTGTTCAAGGTAGAACTCTTTTCTTTTTCTTCATTAGCCTGTTCCGTGGCATAACTAATGAGAGAAGATCGAGCCTCCAATAGCATAGCTATAATGGGTGCCTCTTCTGCGGGAACTCCCGTCTCTGGCCATTTATACCAATAATGTGTCAACTCCCGGCTAGCATTATTTTCAGCAGTATTTTTCAGTAGAATAGTTGAAATGGCATATTTATCTTTGACTTCACGATTTTGTAGTGTCACCTGGAAATCACCAAAACTGGCATGATTGTCCAGTGTCACCGAGGGTGGTAAATATTCGGCACACTTCTCGACACCATTTTCAATGAGATCGGTTGCTTGAATGATTACGCGGGATTGTTGTTCCCATATCATGCGCCAGAAATCTTCCACGGTGGTCTCCAATGGTGCCTGGCAGGCTATATAATAATTGGGAGAATCTTTGGGACCCTGCAAAAGAGAGAGACAGGTTATTATTTTTCAAATATTTCAGGTTTATCAATATGGAAAAAGATAATTTAATTAATTAATAATTATTTATTGTTGTTATGTGATATTCGTTTTTGTTGTTATTGTTTTTTGTTCTGACTAACGACTGGATGAGTAAGCCCATGTGATACCTGGCTGTTATAAATTTAATCTTTTTTGGGAATAATGTGTCGGCTCTCATTATTATATTACACACTGTGGCATATTTGAATAGGTATAAGTGTTTTGAAAAAAAGTTTCAAGAACAAATATTATTATGAAAAAAATTTACTTTTTTTCAAGGATAGATTTTTTTTAAATTGATTTTCTAAGGACTATCAAAGGTGAAGATTATTTTTAAATATTTTATCAACAACTATCAACAGGCGCAGATTTTTCAAACATTTTTTTCGGGAACTACAACTGGCGTAGATTTTTTAAAAATATTTTTTAAGACTAAAAATATTTTCCAAGGATTATAATCAGGCGTAGATTTTTTAAAAATATTTTTTTAAGGACTAAAAATAATTTCCAAGGATTATAATAAGGCGTAGATTTTTTTAAAATATTTTTTCAAGGACTAAAAATAATTTCCAAGGATTATAATCAGGCTAGATTTTTTAAAAATATTTTTTCAAGAACTACAACATGTGTTGATTTGTTTAAAAATATTTTTTCAATGACTACGTTTGGTACAGAAAAATATTAAAAAAATTCACGCCTTTGTTGAAAAAATATTTTGAAAAATTCCACGATCGTCAGAAAATATTATATTATCCACCCGTAGATTTTTTAAAAATATTTTTTTTAAGTACTAAAAATAATTTCCAAGGATTATAATCAGGCGTAGTTTTTTTAAAATCTTTTTTCAACAACTACAACATGCGTAGATTTGTTTAAAAATATTTTTTCAAGGACTACGGTACACATTTTGGTACACAAACATATTAAAAAATATTTCACGCCTTTGTTTAGGTATTGAAAACATATTTTGAAAAATTCCACCATCGTCAGAAAATATTATCCACCCCCATTTTTTTTTTAAGTAAACCCAGTAAGGAAAGTAGTCAAGTCGGACTGGGCCGACTATATAATAACCTTCAGCACTTTGTGTATATTCTACATATGTATCCTAACAGACGTCGCGTGTTTGTTTTATATCTATATCTGAACCGATTTCAGGGAAACTTGCCAGAGACTAATTTATATTATTTCAGTACGTTGTGTCAATCGGCCTAGCTAAGGATCTTTTCACGAAGCTTAACAACATCATTCTAGACTTAATTCAGTAGCCTATACAAAAATTCGTGCAAATCGAAAGATATATAGGGACTTCGGTGCAACAATTACATAAAATCGGACGAAAATATATTTGGGAGCTATATCCAAATCTGAAACGATTTTCACGGAACTGTGCACACATCATTTTAGACTTAATTCATTACGCTATGCCAAATTTCGTGGAAATCGAAAGATATATAGGGTCTTTGATGTAACAATTACCTTAAATCGGACGAAGATATATATGGGAGCTATATCTAAATATGAAACGATTTTCACTAAACTTAACAAATATCATTCTAGACCTAATTCATTACGCTATGCCAAATTTCGTGCAAATCGAAAGATATATAGAGACTTTGGTACACTATTTACATTAAATCGGTCGAAAATATATATGGGAGCTATATTTATATCTGAACCGATTTTCAGGAAATTTTGCACACATCATTCTAGAATTAATTCAGTACGCTATGCCAAATTTCGTGAAAATCAAAAAATATATAGGGACTTTGGTACACCATTTACCTTAAATCGGACGAAGATATATGTATATGGGAGCTATATCTAAATCTTAACCGATTTTTCCCAATTTCAATAGGGTTTATCCTTGGGCCAAAATAATGAGCTGTGCCAAATTTCATCCAATTCGGATTATAAATACTACCTGTACTTTGTTTAAAATTTAACATGGACAGACGGACGGACGGACATGCATAAATTGACTCAAAAAGGGATTCTATGCATATTCTCAAAAGGAACCATGGGTCTATCTCAATTATTTTTGCATAAACGCTTTGGGGAATGGTCTTCTTATTCTAACCTTGTAATAAATAATACAAATGAGCAAAAATCCCAATTGATGTGGCGCCTTTGGCATTTACATCATTTTGTAATTTATTTTAATTCAATTATAAAAAAAAAATTACAATGGAAAAATAATTAAATTTTCTACAACAAAAATGTCACTGCACCCAATTTAAACACACAAACAACAAAATGAACATTTTTTTTGGTATTTCCATATATGTCGATATCTCTTTTGTTCTTCGAAACGTCCGACGATGTTGTTGCTCATCTTCGAAATGTGATAAACGGAGACAATAAATCTTGAGTGACGACAACAACAGCAACAACAACAAATATGCAAAAGCCCACACATCCTCTGACATGAAAACGCTTTGTTTTTTTGTATTTTGTTTATTTCAGAATTATCGCTGTTGTCGTTGTTGTTTTAATTGTAAAAAAATTCTCATGAAAGAGGTTTCACTTGATTAATAATTATTTTAGAACACGTTCTTGAATAATGAATGATGGTGAGAGGTAGGCAGAACAGTGGCTGGGAATTGAAAAATAATAATAAATATTTTATCATTTAATTTTCCGATTCCATCCCACTGTGCAGTATTATATTTTATATATTTACGCCCTACACAAATATGTTGTCAGGGTATTATAGCTTTGTCCAGTCCCAGGAGTTTGTAATGTCGCGAAATATTGGCCCTAGACCCACCTTTTAGTATACCAATATCGATAAACTGAGTCGATCTAGACATGTGTGTCCGTCCGTCCGTCTGTCCATTATAATTTGTAAACACAATACAGGCCACAGT